TTCCAACGGTGAATATTCAAAGTAAGAATTGATTTACTTTTGCATCAATGATTAGTTGTAAGATTCCGATGGTGGATGTTGACGGAGACCAAGTTTCGTTATATTAATTGATTTCGAATTGAATTTTTTTTTGTTTTTTTTTTGTTTTTGGGTAAGATTGTTTTATGTTTTACTCAAAACCCCCAACCTTATTCACATCATCGAAAATTCGGCTAGACACTCTTCGTGGGATCGACCCTTGCTTACCCTATTTACAGTTCAGTAGTTAGGTTAGGAAGGTTTTTAATCTTGATTGCATAGTAGCCATATCGTTGATAGGTAGTTGTTTCGCTTAATCTGAATCTATTGGGTGACCATGATGCCTTACTAGGGGCCAATCTTGGTCTGTGTGTAGTGAGACGATTGATTGGTGTCAATCGCGATACTACTCATTGCCGATATGATAAGAAGCCTACGGGTCACACACTTAGGAGACAGTTTAAGGATGGTAAACTTTGGAAGGGCATATTCGTCTTTTAGACAAAAGGGCATATTGGTAATTTTATTATTGGTGTAATTTAGCAAAATTATAAATTTAATTATTGAAGTTAATATTAATATTAAAGTAAATTATTAAAAACGGACCTAATGCGATTCCACCTAAGTTCGGTTGTTGCTAAAATTTGGGGGTGGAATGGATATTTACATCATTATTTAAATGAAGCAAAAAGTTAGGTTTTAATCAATTCTCTCATTTTGTGTCGTGAGTGACATTGAGAGAAAAAAATTCTCTCTTTTTTTGTTCACTCTATCACCCTAAGTATCATCCTTAAAGCCAAGAATTGATTCTAGTAAAATCAATTCTTGGTCTTGTAATAACTTCTTTCTTAACTAGTATACTCGGAAATTATACTATGAAAAACATACGTACATATAATATGAAAAATAATGGGCCGAAAATTTTTCTTTATTTAACATATAATTATTTACTTATAAAATATTATTCTGTACATAGCAAAATAACATAGACAAGAACTTTGATAAGGGTGGACAGTAATGCCATGTCTCTTCACTTTTTGACGTCCAACCAATCGCTTCTCACCTATTACCTACAAAACAAGGAGAAACAACAGGGTGAGCACTAATTGCTTAGTAAGTAAATCCTCCACTCTTACATCCCCACAACTTACTTGTGAGTTCTTTCCTTACTCTATTCTTTTTCTTCTTCATTCTCACTTGTTCTTTTCTTTTCTTTTACTGTTTTTTACTTCTCACAGTTCTCCCATTCTAACTTTCTTTGTTCTTTCTTTCTAGTTCTCTCTATTCTTTTTTATTCTCACTATTCTTTCTTTCTTTCTTATTCTCACTAACCATGATGGAAATCATGGTAACATGCATGGATGGGATGCACATGCAGTAATGCAAAGAAATGCATTTTCTTTTCTTCTTTTCTTTTTCTTATCCTGTTTTCTTTTCTTTCTCTATGATTCTTTCTTTCTGTTTTTTTTTTATAAGTAAGTAATCATATTAAAGAAAACAGAACAATGTACAAAGGCCTAATAAAAGGCGACCAGCCTATTTTGGGACATGCCCCGAAAATAGGAAACAAAAGAAACAAGCCTACAAACAGCCATCCGCTCTAGGGGTTTATCAAAAACCACAAAGGGAGATAAACACCAAGAAGAAAGAAAAGAGAACACCAAAAATCCCACCTACCATAGGACACCTCCCTAGGTTAGGATCATTAAAAGAAATACAAAAAACAAACGCTCTACCAATGAGACAAAACAACCAAGCAAAAAACCCTTCTGCTTAACCCTCTGTAATCCAATCTTCAAATGGTGTTGAGAACTTGAGGAACGTCTTTGAAAATAGATCTAGGGAGGCCCCAATCATTCGCCAACTTCCTATTGCTATAGGATGCAGTGACATTCCTAAGGTCCAAAGCTTTATCTCTCACAACACTTTTGATAGCATCGATTATGGTGAAAGAATCCTTATGGTCACCCCTAAAACTTCGCGAATTTCGTTCCCTCCAAATCCAATAAACCGTAGCCCCTAAACAAAGCCTACCCAAAGTTAATTTTAGACTCTTACCTTTCCATATCCTTGCCAAATGGGGGATGTAATCATGCCAGGGTCTAACCACATAACCAAGGTCAGCAAGCCTAAGGATCTTGCTCCAAATAGACTTAGAAAAAGGGCATGCAAAAAATAAGTGGTCAAGAGATTCCACGGATGAGTTACAAAAGCAACAATGAGCATTAGTAGCAGCCCCATACCTCATCAACCTGTCCTTTGTAGGTAATCTCTCCTTTATAGCCATCCATAAGATCATAGAGTATCTTGGAATAGCCTTTGAGAACCACACCAAGTCACACCACTCAACTTTTGCTCTCCTTCCTCTAATTGCCTCCCAAGCCGATTTGGTAGAGAAATCCCCCGAAGGTGAGGGTATCCAACAAATCTTGTCATCAACATTAGAAGGAGTGAAATTCACAGAATTCCCCATGTTAATAAGAGCCCAAGAATTGGCAGTTGGCCACTTCCAGTTGCATCCATCAACCACAGAACTCACTTTAGCATCCTTACCAATCCCCGCATCATAAATAATCCTTTCCCCATAGGTGCAAACAAGGGGGCCGTTCGGGTGCCAGTTATCAAACCAAAGAGAGGTGGTGTTACCATTGCCAATGTTATATTTGATTTTCTTTCTAGCCCTTTCCCTATTTTTGAGGATATGTCTCCATGACCATGTACAATTTTGGGGAATGCATATGTCCCAAATGCTTCTATTTCTCAAAAGATAAATTCGGACCCAAGAGACCCATAAAGTATGGTTTCTGTGATTGCACAGGTTCCAAATATGTCTTAAAGAAGCTGCGAGGTTCCATTCCTTAGATTTCATAAACCCAAGCCCACCCTCATTTTTGGGTACACATACCTCCTCCCAAGCTATTCTAGCTTTGTGTCTATTCATATCAACTCCGGACCAAAGAAAAGCTCTCAAACTAGCATCAATTTCCTTATGAATTTTGGAAGGAAGGGTAAAGAGGGACGACCAGTAAATTTGCACACTCCAAAGAATGGATTTAATCAAAATAATCCTCCCCGCATAGGATAGAGACCTACTTCTCCAAGAGGCAACCCGAGCCAAGATTTTATCCAAGGGAGGTCGACAATCTCCAAAGGTAAGCTTAGAGGTAATAAGGGGTACACCTAAGTATTTGATGGGAAAACTACCCTCGGCAAATCCTATCAAACTTAAAAGCTCCATCTTTTCATTGTCACTCACACCAGAAAGGAAGATATTGCTCTTATCAGGATTTGCACTCAATCCTGATCAACTTTCAAAAGTAACTAAAGCATTCTTAAGGAGAGACAGAGAAGTACCTTCGGCTTTACAAAAAAGCATGAGATCATCCGCGAAACAAAGATGAGTCAGCCCCATTTTCTTGCATCTCCAATGAAAACTAAAGTTCGGATTAGCCGCCACTCTATTCAAGAGCCGAGAGAGAACCTCCATAGCAATAACAAACAAGTAAGGGGATAAGGGATCCCCTTGTCTCAGCCCTCTAGAGCTCCCAAAGAAACCCACCAACTCCCCATTGATAACCACCGAGAATCTAGGAGCAGTGATGCATTTGGATATCCAATTGACAAGAACACTAGGGAAACCAAAATTCTTAAGGACTTGTAAGAGAAACTCCCAATTAACCGAGTCATAAGCCTTCATTAAATCAACTTTCAAGGCACACCTTTTTTCCTTGGCCGTAGCTCGATTATAGTTGTGCACCAACTCTTGGCATAACAGGATATTATCTCCTATTCTCCTATCACCAACAAAGGCTGCTTGTGTCGGGTCAATGAAGAGAGGTAAAGCACTCTTAATTCTATTTGCAATGATCTTGGTGATACATTTATAAATTATGTTGCAGCAAGAAATGGGCCGATAGTCCTTACACCAAGAAGCATTATCACACTTTGGAATAAGAGCATGCTGGACCTTAGAAGGTTTTCTCTGCTCCAATAACTCCGCCGAGATATTCCCAAACTCCCCTTGTAAACACTTTTAATGCTGATTTGACTCTCTTCAGTTTAGTAACCAATTGATACATAGGGGTACCCCCTACTTCTTCTTCCCAAGCCTTACTAACAATGTAATGAAACTTTCATGGTGAGCCCAAAAGTTGAAGAACCGAGATGGGATTTTCCTAAATGAAGACATAACCCCACATTCAACAATACAGGAGAATGATCCGAGATGCTTGGGGGAAGGAAATTGGCTATGGAATTACCAAACACACTGCCCCACTTTTCAATCACAAGAGCTCGATCAATCTTAGTGGTAATCCTATGTTCCCCTTCTCTCATATTACTCCCCATGAAAAAGTTACCCATAAACCGAAGGTCCTCAAGCTAGTCTCATTACACATATTATTAAGTCCGAAACGTAATTTCTCCACCTATAAGAACCCCCTATTTTCTCATGCCCAAATCTCTCGCATTAAAATCACCATAATACCCATGGTATTTCCTCAAAATCTTGAGCTTTACCCATTAAGTCTCTCCATAATTCTTTCCTTTCCAGCGGACCATTAGAGCCATAGACAAATGAGCAAACAAAGGAGTAATTAGACTCCAAAATAACAACCTTACCATGGATGACTTGATTCGTAGATTGTATGATTTAAACCTACCAAACTAGGATTCCAAGCAACCCAAATTCTACCATTAGGGCAGCACACATGTTATGGATTACATCCCATCCCCCAAAAGTCAAGGACTTAGTAACCTCAAATTTGGTTCACGAATCTAGTTTCTAAAATACCACAAATTGCAATTTATTGGAAGAGATTAGATGTCTAACTCTTTTTGTTTAAAGGGGAATTAAGACCCCTTACATTCCACGAAGCAAGTTAATCATGGGAGGTGGGTGTTAGGAACTTCTCTCGCCTTCTGGCTATCTTCTCCTTTGGCTTTTAGAAAGACTTAAGTCCCCTCGTAAGACCTTCCTTTCATCACACTCGAATCAAATTTCCGAACCTCCCACATAGCAGTGAAGTAGACCCCATTTCACATCCCTCGTGGTTTTCCACCAAGGGACCCCTAGGTGGGGTTACTTCTCCGTTGTTATCACCAGCACCCAAAGCATTCAACCTTTTGCTTACTTCCAATCTCCTCTCCTCTATGTTAGGAACACTCACCCCATATTCATTCCCCTTAACACACTTATCCCTATCATCACATGCACCTCGATTATAGGCCCTGTTAAGATCAGCCCCGCTAGGGACATTTATCCCACTCATTTCATCCTTATCTTTTCCAAACCTATCATTGACATTCTCACTATCCTCTTCGCCATCTAGTTCCCCATTATCCAGCCTATTGCCTGAACTGAGAACCAAAAATTGATTAGTGGAGGGTTTTGTTTTACTAACCGTGACTCCCGACTCATTAATGGGCTGCTCTTTTTTGCAGGTAGAGCTCTCGCCCACGTTCTCCACTTGCACAACCACGTCCTTTGACACATTCTCCTTCCTCTTAGTCACCATTCGCCAATCTTGAGTAAGATTCAAGTTCTTATTCTCGGTGCTTTCCTTCTCACATCGAGGGGCCAAGTGACATTCCTTCAAATTATGCCCAAAAGTTCTACACAAAAGGCAGGCCCTCGGTTTCCAAGAATACTCCACTCCTATGTTTACACAATCACCATTCGGGAGTCCTAGTTCCACTGAATTCGGGAATGAAGAAGCTGTGTCAATTTCAACACAAACTCTTGTATACTCCAATCTATCCCCCGCATCCGTGATGTTATCCATGTAGAGAGGTTTTCCAATGGCGCTCGCAACATAGCTCAACCCTTTAGAAGTCCAAAACGCCAATGGAACTCCACTAAATTTGACCCAAATCGGCACACTACTAGTGCCTTCACCTGACATTTTTAAATTCGGACGCCATTTTTTTAGGAAAAGGGGCTGCCCCCCAATATGCCAAGGGCCCCCTTCCAAGGCCTCATCCCTGGAGCTCTCATTATCAAATTTCAGAATAAAGCCCCCAACCCCATTTGAGACAACACCAACCTTTCCGAAGCACTTCCAATTCCTATTGATAAAACCCTTCACAAGAGAGAATGGCAACCTTCTACCAAGGAAGAAACCAACGAGACATTCCCCATTTGTCCATCGCCAAATCAGCCACCTCTTTAGGAGGTATAACCCTTGTCCTCCTGCCATCATCAAGGATTTCCGGAGCAAAATATTCCATAGGAGCACCGGATTTTGAAACAAAAAGTTTTCTCCAGGATGAAATACCAGCAGGCTTCAATTCCCCATCCACCTTTTCCCCCATAGTTCAACCTCCACTTGCCGCTTTCTCGCCATGCATCATAGTTGGAGGCACCTTTGAATCAACCAGCGCATGCCCATCGCACATTTCCACACCAACCTTATCAATCTCTTTTCCACCCACAATTTGCTGCTTCTTAAACACCCCACCAGAACTCTTTGCCTCACTTGTATTCAAAGAATTCACAAGAAAAGGACCATTGGGAGGCAAAGTTTGGCTTTAGGAAGGTTTAGGAAGTGGAAGGAAAAAATTGTTTTTTTGTGATGTGGCAAGGCTGGTGACGTGGCAGGCTGACGGGCATCTTGGGGGACGGGGCAGGATGAGTCAGCGTGAGATTGATCAGGTGGAGGGGAGAGATGGATGATTTGTTGGTGAGTTGTCATTATTTGAAGTCAAAGAGATAAGAGATAAGGAAATCAAAGGGGAACCAATGAAAAACAAATGACGTGGCTAAAAACTTATGGAACAGCCTATTAACCAGTCCAAAGAGATGTGGATAAGAAAAAAATCAAAAAAATCCAAATGAGCCAATGAGAGAGAACCAATGGATAGCACTTGGATGGATTCAAACTATCTCACTCAATATGTGAACAACAACCAAAAATGGCGGACAACTCCAGCCCAAACAGCAAAGCTCCGGCCAAAGAAGCACCCGCACTCCGGTGACCAGCAAGAATCTGGCATCAACAGGCTACACCACCAACCCACTCTACATTTTCGGTCAAAAAAGAACCACAAACAACCCCTTTACTCCTACCTCACTTCAACACCAAACAGCAACTCCAAAAAAACGAAAATAAACAAAACAACTCCGGCAGCCACCCACCTTCTTCCCAATCCGGCCAAGCCAAGAAACAGCCCACACAAAACAAGCTCAGCCACAACAGCCACCAACAAGCAAAAGAGAAGAGAGAGCCTCAAGGACATTAAATGTCAATTTTGAAACATGAATCTTGCTTCGCTGTAGCGGTTTTAATGCTAGATTGATGCATAATTCTGCAAATTCAAAAGAGTAATTTTATAAATCAACCCACCCAATTCAAAATTGATTATTTCGAATGTATGCATAATTTTTGCTTGAAAAATTGCATGGTGCCCAGTACAGGAGCCTTGGACCTATGGTGAATGTTTTAATGTTTTTTTGGGTATGTATGATTGTAATATTTTAAATAGGGCCTGTGTGCCCTGTCTTTCTCCTACCTTCTCGATGTACATTCTCTTTTCATCTCATTCCCTTCAAATGTAAATCGATGTTTCTAAATTTATTTATGTAAAATTAGTGTAAAATTAATTTCACTATTATTTTAGTATGATGTATTATGTATTGTACTTGAAGATGGAGCAAGGACAAAGCGATCATACTTGAAGACTCAAGATATTTATTACTGGATTCCTAGGTGACCTACCAATTCCTCTAAGCTCAAAGAAATTGGTTTTAGTTATGCCATGTACTGGCACGTTTCCTTAAATGCATAGAATGCATGCTAAAGGTGTATGTTATGACTATAACATACTAATGAAGATAAAAACTAGTGAGACATAAAATAAAAACCCTCAAATAAAGTATATTAAGTCATGTAAGCCTTCCATCATCATGACTTTAAACCACTGTTCGTTGGAACCTTGTTCGCCAAAGCGAAGGGTACACTTCTACTAGTGGGAGGTTAAAGCTCATTGGAGTTTTCCTTAATGGTGATGGATCGACTTAAAATGACGTGTTTTGCCTGTTTGCCAAAGCGCAGGTTGATAAGCACGTCAAAGGCATAGCAGAGAAGTACACTTGTTGTGTGTACATGGCAACATTTAGTGTCCATTCTACTAATACTGAGAATCACACTTGAGGATGATGGCTAGGTCATTGGATTGTGTGATTGGCTTGTTGGCTTGCTTCACATTTGCGGTTGATAGTGGAAGCTATCAACTGGTGTGGATTAAGTTTTTTGGCCTACCTAATCAACCCATTTTTGCTTGTTCGCCAAAGCAAAGGTTTGATGAAAACTTACAAGTGGATTTAATTTTGCAATCCCTACCTGATTCTTTTGCACCATTCATAATGAATTTCAATATGAACACAACGGTGAAATTCCTATCAGAGCTTCTGAACATGCTAAGGACTGCGGAGCAGGAAATGAAAAGGTCCAAGCCTGTTTTACTAGTTGCTACCAGCAAAGGAAAGGGTAAAGGCCTAACCGAAGCCCAAGCCCAAGCCCAAACGACATGATGCTCTCAGGCCTAAGAGTGGCGTTGGGAATGGTGGGAAGTAGTCTTCTTCTATTGTGGCAGGCCTAGCCGCTGGAGGAAGCACTGCAAGGCTTTCCTCGCTAGCACGAAGAGGTGAGAGGCTTTGGCGTCAGGTATGTTCATGGTTAAGATTAACTTCTCTCCTTCAACATCTTGGGTCATTGACACAGGATGTGGTACTCACATTTGTATGTGCAGTGACTAAGGCAGAGTAGATTGCTCACCAAGGGAGAAGTGGACCTACGAGTTGGAAATGGAGCATATGTGGTTGCATTAGCTTTAGGGACTTATTGTTTATCTTTTCCTACGGGCTTGTTTTTGGAACTTCATAACTGTTATTTCATACCTTCTATCTATAGAAATATTATTTCAGTATCCGCTTTGGATAATATAGTATATCATTTTGAGATTTCTAATAGATTATTGTCCTTTAGTTTGAATGGTATTTTATTTGGAATTGCAAGGCTATATAATAGGTTATATGTTCTTTTTTTTTTTTTTTTTTATAAGTAAGTAATCATATTAAAAAAAAAAAAACAGAAGAATGTACAAAGGAATTAACCCACATCCTTTACAGCCCAAAAAAAAGAGTGAGAGAAAATGCTCTCTCTTCTCTCTAGGATTAGTGAAACAGCCCACCTTCCATCCTTTTTCCCCTCCACCCACCTCTCCTCTCTCCACCTTCATCACCCATCCTCCACCTTTACCAGTAAACACCTCCTTCTCATCTAACCACCATCCTCCATCTTTTTTTTTTTTTCGTTTTTCTTCTGAGTTTTTCTAGTTTGTTTGTTGCTGCTTGAGTGGTGAGAGGTTGTTGCAACTGTTTGGAGTGGGCATTTTTTGGGGAGGAAAGTCTGGTTGGTTTGGGTGCGATTGTGTGGTGTAGGTTGCTGTTGGGAGTGTTGTTGGCCGGATTTGGGCTTGCTTGGCCTGAGTTTCATCCTGCTGAGGTGAAGCTTTTTTGTTTTGTTTGGGAGAGTTGGATGTCCTTGCTTGTTGTTGTGGCTGGGGTGTTGCTTTGGGGCTGGTTGTGCTTGTCACCGGAGCTTGTAGTTGTGCTGCCGGAGTTTGGTTTTTCTTGTTGGCCGGAGCTTGTAGCTGTGCTGTCGGAGTTTGGTTAATCTTGTTGGCTGGAGCATTTCTGGTGTGGCTAGTCCTTGTTTCCTTTTCAAGAATGTGAGTGTGGTTCATTGTTTGAATTCTTTCCCCTTTTATCTTTGGCTAAGATTCTCCTTTTCTCCTATTGGCTTGGTGGATTTTGCTTTATCAATTTCCTTTGGACTGGTTAATAGCAAGTTCCATAAGTGATTTTCTTTCCACCTCACCACTTCCAATTGGTTATTGTGATTGCCTTTATCCCTTTTCTAACAAATCCCCACATCATCCTATCCTTACACTTGTCATGCCACCTCACTGCCTTGTCATCCCTCATCCCCTCACGTGTGCCACGTCACCCTAGGTGCCACGCCATCAGGTGAAAAAAATTCAATTTTTTCTGCTACCTCTCTTCCTTGACACCCATGGGGGCCATTGAATGTGGGAAAAGCTGTGGTTTGAGTGAGTAGTATCCAAACAGTGAAGAAAAGAAAATTGAAAGTGTTAGGAATGGTGCTTAAGTGCCTACTGGAGTCTTGAAAGGGGCCACCATTTCTAATAGAGAGTTTGTCCAAGTCTGGTTGGTGAAACCTATTAATGGAGGGAATTCCGAATTTGAAGAAGGTGAAATTATTTGGGTGGGTAGAGGAGCTGTTTGTGCTGAATCCAAGAGTGCTTTGGAGGGTACCTATGTTTCTTCTAGGGTAGGTGAAAATGGGCAGCACACAATCTGCAATGGTGTGGATAAGGGCCGTGAGGTTGTAAGGCCACCTGCTGCATAGAGAAATCAGGCCGGAATGATGCGCCATTGGTTAAAGGTGAGTTCAATCCGAAGCTAGGGAGCTGCTCTGATGGAAAGGGGAGATTTTATGAAAATGTGGCAGCGAAGGTTAATGAGATTTCTAAGGATTACCCCCCTCTCCCAAGCAAAGTGGTGGATGGAGTTAATAGAATTGAGAAGCTACTTACTTAACAAAAAAAAAAAAAGAATTGAGAAGCCAAATGGTTGTGGTGATCAAAAACAGGTGAAAGGGGAGGAAAAATGGGCTTGGACAAGTGTTCTTGTCTCAAAGAGGTCTGATATTTCCCTTGAATATGTCAAACCAAATATGAGCAAGGAAGGTGGTAAGTTTAGAATTTCAATCCCTACTGAAATTGTGGCTTTAGGAATAGACAAATGGAGTAATTGTCTAGTTGGGTTTTTCCTTGGGAAGAAATTGCCGTTTTACCAAGTAAAGAGCTATGTTGATAGAAATTGGAGTCGTTTTGGAGCTGTTGGGGTCACTTCATATGGGCATGGGGGCTATTTGCTCAAGTTCCCGGATGAGGTTACTAAAATGGATGTGCTGGAGGGTGGTCCATGATTCATAGGAGGGCAGCCTTTCTTTTTGAAGTTATGGACTCCTAATTTGTCGTTGGGCATGAATGGGATTACTAAGGTACCCATATGGGCGAAATTCTATGGTATCCCTCTTGAGTTATGGACCCCCAAGGGTTTCAGCCATATAGCAAGTGTAATAGGCACCCCTATTTATATGGACAATATTACCGAGTCGGGCAAAAGGCTTGAGTTTGCTAAAGCGTGCATTGAGATGGATTCTTTGTCCGAGTTTAAGGAGGAAGTTGAGCTGGAGATGCCGAGTGGTGAGATTGCATTAGTTAAGGTGGAGCATGCATGGAAGCCATTTACCTGTGCTTGGTGCAAAACGTTTGGGCATGTCCAAAGGAACTGTCATTGGGCTCCTAAGGAAACCGAACCGTTGTTACCCAAAAAGCCGACTTCTCCTCATGTGCAAGAATGGAGACAAGTTACTAGCAAGAAGAATGTAAGTGTCCCTCTAGAAGTAAGTCAGCAAAGGGTAGGGGGAAAAAGGAAGGTGAGGCCCTTAAACCTTGTGAGAGTGTGAACCAATTTGTGGTGCTATCCGAAGAGGGTAAGGAAAAGAGAGATGTTGCCAATAGGGAGGAGAGGAAGAGCGGGAATGGTATTGAGGAAGGGCTGGAAAGTGAAACAAAGTTAGGTAATGCGATTTTGGGGGAGGAAGCTACGAATGCCAATAAGGATAGAGAGGAGAGAACTCCAACTACCAATGCTGTCTTCCTGAATACATTTGAGGACAGTGACATGGGAATTAGCAATTTATGAACCATTTGGGAACCTGGTACGTGTGGATGAAAAGGAAAGATTGGAGAAGGAAAAGGGAAGTCTTTCTAAGAGTAAAAGGATGAAACTTGCGAAGAAGGCGAGAACTCCCCTGAAGCTACCTCATAGCCATGGTTAAAGTTGCCGTGTGGAATGTTAGAGGGCTCAATTCCCTTATTAAACAGAAAGAGGTAAGGAATCTTATTAGTAGCAATAATTTAAGTTTATGTGCTGTTTTGGAGACTAGGGTTAGGGAGAATAATATGGACGTGGTTAGGAAAATTGTGTTCCGTAATTGGGCTATGGTTGAGAACTATTGTTTTTGTGAAAGGGGGAGAATTTGGGTGGGTTGGGTTGGAGATATTTTGCATGTGCAGGCCACCCAAACTTCGGCTCAAGCAATTCTTTGTAAGATTAGAATTTAGAAAGATAATTCCATGCTCTTTTGTTCTATTGTCTATGGGATGAATAGTGTGGGGGAAGGGAAGGAGCTATGGAAGGAGCTTATTCACCATGCCAATGTTTGCCAACGTGAGCCATGAGTTATTATGGGCGACTTTAATGCGGTTAGATTTGCAGGGGAAAAGAAGAGAGGTTCTAATAAATGGAATTCGCAATGTGAAGAGTTTAATGACATGTGTAAGGAAGCTGATATTGGTGATCTTAATACCATTGGTTCATTCTTCACTTGGAATAACAGAGGAGAGGTCAATTGAAGGATTTGGTGTAAACTTGATCGGGTGATGTGTAATAGCATTGGAGCAGTAGGTTTCCCAACTCTTTTGCGTCCTTCCTTACTCCGGGCATATCAGACCATTTTTTAATGGTGGTTGATAGTGGGCTGAACTTTCAAGGTAAGAAATCCCCTTTCGAGTTTTTCAACTTTTGGGCAGAGCATGAGGACTTCTTACCTATCGTGGAGAGAGTATGGAGTGTGGAGGTGGAGGGTAACCCCATGTACAGGCTGGTCTCTAAGCTAAAAGCGTTGAAGGTTGAGCTTAAGAGACTAAATAGAAAGGAGTTCTGGAACATTTCGGAAAGAGTGAAATTTGCAAGAGATGATCTGGCCCAAGTCCAAGAAAGGCTTGTTGTGGATCCGGTTGATGGTGCTCTTTTGCAAGAGGAGAAACTTAAGGTGGAAAAGATGGTCAAGCTTTCAAAAGCCGAAGAATCATTAGCCAAGCAAAAGTCAGGGTAAATGGTTACGGGAAGGGGATGCTAACACTTCTTACTTCTTTAAATCGATTGCTGGATGGAAGAATAGAAATAAGATTGTTTCCTTGGAAATTGGGGAAGACTCGGCTACTAGTGATCAAGATAGAATCAAGAGGAGTTTGTGTCTTTCTACTCAAATCTTTTTGAAGTAAGTGTGCGGGTGTTCCTATGAGGGCATGGAGGAACTTATCACCCCTGATATTTTGGAGGCAGAGGCCAACTCCATGATTAGTGAGGTTTCAAAAAAAGAGATTCAGAGACCATGTTTGGAATGAGTAAAGACAAAGCACCCGGGCTAGATGGTTATGGAGCTTTTTTCTTTAAAAAAGCTCAGGATATTGTAGGTCATGATGTTGTTAAAGCGATCCAAAATTTCTTCAAGTCTGGGAAAATGCTTAGAGAGGTGAATTGTGCCATTATTGGTTAGCCCCAAAGAATGAAAACCCCTCATCTTGTAGTGAGTTTTGGCCGATCTCATGTTGTAACACCATCTACAAATGCATCTCCAAGATTATGGCAATAGAGTTAAAAGAGTTTTGCCTCAGTTCATTGTAACAACTCCTCTTTAGTACTATCTTATAATACGTACTATGTAAAATATAGATTGATATAATATGAAGATAGTGGGCTCAAATTTTTCTTTACTCATAAATATACTGCTTTACAAATACAAAATACTATGTATTAAAAACTTTCTAATTAATACAAAATATCTAGCTGGTGGACAGTAGTGCCAACACTCTTCGCTCCTTGACGTCCATCCGACCGCTGCTCCTATTTCCTGCAAAACAGAGAGAAAACGGGGTGAGCACAACAATGCTCAGTAAGTAAATCCCTATACTATCCCGCAACTCACTCTTTGGTTCTTTCCTTACTCGACTGTTCTGCTATTTTTTTGTCACTGTTTTTTTCTCTTTCTTTCTAATACTGTTATTCTCCTTTAACTCTGTTCTGCTCTTTTTTCTTCTTTCTCTCTATTCTTTCTCTGTTCTTTTTCTCTTATTTCACTCACCATGAAGGACAATCATGGTTCTCTCTTATTCTCATCATACTCACCATGAAGGAAAATCATGGTTCTTGCTGGTACAAGCTCTACATGAATTAATACGAAAGAACTGATGTTTCTTCTTCTATCTCTATTCTTACTAGTTTAAACTTTCGCATTCTTTCTCATACTCTCTCTCTTTTTATATCTCATTCTTTCTCAAGCTTTCTCATTCTTTAATTCTTCTTTGTCTCATTCTCATTTTATTTCTCTTCTCATAACTCTTTTCTGTTAACTCTCTCTTTAGTAATCACGGCCTCATCTTACCGGAGGCACGACCGGACTCGCTCCCACTCTACGTGACTTCTACTTATTCTAGCTGATCGAACTTAGTTATGCATGGATTCGAACCCTTGGCCACGTGAGTGATAATTCTCTCTCTCGGTACTCGGGTATAGCCTCATCCGCATGCACTCTCACGGGCTACACCACTTCTCTATCTGATACTCATGCCGCTCTCTCAATGCGGCGTACATGCGGGCATACCTACCCATTACAGGGTTTCCCCATCGCATAACCTACTTTATGCTCTTATCTCTCTCTTATTCTTCTCATGTTTGCTCATCTCTTTCTCAAACTAGTACTCATACTCAAGCTACTATCATAATATAGCTTAACTCTTAGCTTTTTTCTCATCTCTGTTCTATACTATTCTTTTCCTTCTCATTCTTACTCATTGGAATGTCACGACCTCATCTGACTGGAGCACGGCTGGGCGCTACCACTCTACGTGACTTCCGCTCAATTCACTACCGATCGGATTTAGTTATGCATGGATTCGGAACCTTTGGCCATATGAGTGTACAATCTCTCTCTCTCTGAATGTCACGGCCCCATCTGACCGGAGGCACGGCTGGAACCTCGTGTTCCACTCTGCGTGACGGTCACGGCCTCATCTAACCGGAAGGCACGGCTGGAACCTCGTGTTCCACTCTGCGTGCTCTACTCGTCACTCACAGGTTCCCCATCGCACAACTTATTCTATTCTCTTCTTTAACTCTTGTGCACAAGATCTCTACTCTTCTCTAGCTACTCATCATAATGTAGCTAACTCTTGAGTAACTCTCTACTCTTTCTCAACTTTTCTTTGCTATCAGAGTATTCTCATCTCTTTACTCTTAAGAGTTGCTATCTCAACATTCTCTACGTCTTCTTACTCAAGCTATTACTTATAGTATAGCTTATCTTCAAAATTCTTTACTCTTAAGCTAATACTCAAGGTAGCTCATACTCAACATTCTATATTCTTTCTCAAACTACTTCTTAATGCACAAATTATGCATATGGATGGTTCATACTTATTAATGCACTTTTGAAATGCCAAATGCAAGATTTCCTCAAAACAGTCATTCTGCACAGGTCACACTAAAAAGACCATAACTTGCGTTATACACCCCGAGTACTACGGTTTTGTGTCTCGTTTTAAAGCTTAGAAACAGGCTATAACTTCTATGTTTTGGTCCTAGCCCAGTTCACAACCGTAGATACCCAAAAATTACTTAGAAAGTTACGGCTGTGACAGGGCAGATTTCACTTAGGCATTTCATCAAGCAACTCATGTGCACATAAAAACTCTTCTCTAACTACCAACTCTCCTCTCTTTTTACCATCCAGAATTGGAAGTAAATTCCCTTCTATGGCATAAACCCTATCATAGAAAAACACTCCCAAAATACATACTCAATCTCCTCAACTTCATCTCAAACTATTACTCATAAACACTTTCCATAAAGGAAATATCCAACAAAATAATATAAATACTCTTCTCAACTCAATTTCTCAACAAATAAACATACATCTCTACTCAATTTCTCAATAAGCATCATATATACATGCATAAATAATCTCTACTTAGAATTTCTTAAACTTAGCTTGAGTTGGATTTACTTATCATACTTGAGTAGTCTCCACTAAAGCTCTCTATCTCTTGTTGGATCATGACTTCCCTTATTTCCTAGCATAAACTTAGTAAGAACTTAACCCTTACAGAATAAAACTCATCTCTAAAGTAGGGATTCTTACCTCTTCTTGCTTAGGATCACTTCTTTGTCAAATTCCAACTCAAAACTCTCAAAATTCCTTGGAAGATTGAGTGAGAAATTGAGAGAAAATGGGAGATGAAGAGGCGGTGGAAATGGGTAAAAATGAATGGGTTTAGAGACCTAACCCTTATTACTCATAATATCCACTCTTTCCCATTTTTCCCTTGCTCTTTCTTGAAATTCCATCTATATCCTTTGATTCTTTACAAATACACCCCCATCTAAACACCAATCTCTATTAAATTTCCTTTCATTTTACTCCCCACTTTTCCTACTAATTAGGGGTAGAATGGTCATTGTGCCCAAAAGAAAATTCTCTAGAAAACTCAAGAATCTTTGTTTAGGCTCGTCGCCGCGGCGAAGCATTTTTTCGTCGCCTCGGCCAAAAGGGCAGAACCTACCCGTATGCAACTTCTCCTCCTCGCCGCGGCGAAGTTTTCTTCGCCCGGCGAAAACTGAAACTCCAAAATTTGCTAAGTCTTGATCAATTCAGGTACACACTCAACCAAACCAAAACATAACTCAACCAAGACATGACTATATAGAATCATTTAGGGGCAACTGAGTAATCCTTTAGGCCATACCGTAAACAGTGGCTACGTATTTCAAGTGGGGTGTTACATTCATCAACAAAGCCGAAGGTGCCTTCGTGGGGGGAGAGGAAAATTGTGGATAATATCCTTTTGAGCCAAGAACTTCTCCACCACTATGACAGGAAGTTGGCCAAAGGGGCTAGATGTGCAATGAAGGTAGACCTTATGAAAGCTTATGATTCTGTAAGATGGGATTTCGTTATTAAAGCTCTAGAGCTTCTCGGGTTTCCTTTGAAGTTTATTGGGTTGGTAGAGGAGTGCATCAAAACTCCTAAATACTCTATAGCCGTTAATGGGGAATTATTCGGATTCTTTAACAGTTCTAGAGGGCTTAGGCAGGGAGACCCTATCTCTCCCTATCTCTTTGTGATTGCCATGGAGGTTCTATCAAGACTTCTAAATAGGGCAACGAGGGAACCTTCTTTTAAGCACCATTGGAGGTGCAAAGAGTTAAACCTAACCCATCTTTGTTTTGTAGATGATTTAATGATCTTTTGCCACGCGGATGAAAACTCTCTTGGCATTGTCAAGAGAGCATTAGATCGTTTCACGTTTTGGGCGGGGTTAGAAGCAAACCCCTCAAAAAGCAACATTTTCTTCTCCGGGGTGAGTGAGGAGGGCAAACAAGCTTTTTTGCCAATTCTTGGGTATCAAGAATTGGCAATGAAGTATTTGGGTGTCCCTCTCATAACCAAAAAGCTTTTCCCTTCTGATTGCAAACCTTTGGCGGACAAAATCTTGGCTCGCATTCAATCTTGGCGGAGCAAATTCCTCTCTTATGCTGGTCGGGTAATTCTCATTAAAGCCATTCTTTTTAACATTCAAGTCTATTGGTCATCTATTTTCGTGCTTCCTTCAAAGATCCTCAATGAAATTGATGCTAAGTTAAGGGCTTTCCTATGGTCTGGGAGTGACATGAAAACCTCAAAGGCCAAAGTTGCATGGGAAGAGGTTTGTGTCCCTGTTGAAGAAGGTGGGTTGGGGATTATGAGAGCTAAGGATTGGAATAAGGCAGCCATGATGAGCCATGTTTGGAATCTTAATCAAGTACATAGTGGCTTCGGGTGGGTTGAGTGGATCAAAGCAACGTACTTGGTGAGGAAGAGCTTTTGGGAGATTCATATACCTTCGGATGCTTCTTGGGCTTGGAGGAGTATTTTGAAGCTTAGAATGGAAGCCAGAGAGCACATCAAACCCATCATCGGAAATGGTTAAGCAACTTATGTTTGGCATGATAATTGGCATCCAAGAGGCCCTCTCAAGGATAGATATGGCAGCCGGATTGTGTATGATTCGGGGCTAT